CAGTCTTAATGCATATAAAACATACCGGCGTTGCTGCAACGTATAATTTTAATGTGATTTGTTTAATAAAAATACAGGCTGAGCCAAACCACAGTCTGTCACAGTAGTTGACTTTTTTTTTTCATAGCAGGATGGTCTGACCTGTTCTGCCTCGAGCTAGAACAGAGGCAGACTAATTTCCTGCAACAATAATAGCAGCAAAATGACTTCACCATGATCACACTTGTAAGTCCTGCCAGATTACTGTCTCTCCTGTGGAGACTGACTCTCTGTAGGAAGCCGGATTCAGAGTTATGAATAAATACAGGCATTTCTGGGGGGGGTTTTCTTACCTTCGTTTCAGCTGGCATCGGAGAGGATGATTTGAACGATGCGTTTTGGTCCTGCGACGAGGAAATGAAGCCCGAGTCGTGGGAGGAGATGCTAGAGAGCCGAGCTGGGGCCTGCTGGGGTAACGTGGAGCTGCGGTAGCGATGGCGGGGGTGATGGTTGTGAAAGACGTGGTGTGAGGAAGAGGAGGAAGAAGAGGAGGAAGGAGAATGAGAGTGAGAGCCACTGGATCCTCGGGAGTCACTACTGTTAACGCTGTTCAGACTACTGTGAAAGGGCAAGGAGCGAGAGATGAAGGACCACAGGGAGAAGTTTGGCCGGGGGGAGGGGGCAGGTCAAGAGAATCAACTCCACCAGAAGTTAGAGATTTAAGAGATTAAAAAGGTAAAACAGGGAGGATATAAAAAAGCAGGAGGATTGGGGGGTGGGGGGGTATGGGGACATGGAGGAGACAGGGTGGAAACAATTAACACAGCACACTGAGACGCAACGAGCAGTGACTGGAGCCCATCCCATCAAACCAAAATAAGAAGGCATAAAGTCACACTGCAAATAAAAGCAGGCAGGAAATGACTCTGAGTTCACACAAAATACTAATCAAATGCAAAAACATCATCGACACAGGGTCCAGTTAGTCATAAAATACATACAGTATATACTTAGAACAAAAGGTAAGGACATTTGTGCTTGGTAGATTATTTCTTTGTTGTAACAATGCTTCGTGGAAATAAATCTTTAACTGATGGAAAGCCTGTTTCCCCTTTAAATGGTACCACATTTGTTAGGAACAGGCATTTGTGGGATGAGCAGTAGAGCTGAGTATGTGGGTTGTTCACATGAAAAATTTACCAAATCTTCTCTGCCAAACAGCTTATTTTGTTGATATTGACTCTTTTTTTGAGCTTCTGGTGCTCCCAGATGCCAATCGGGTGCTGATATAAGTTTTACTGCCAAGAAGCATTTGTTAGATTTGAAAAAAGTGCCACTGATGAAGCACAGTAGTAAACATTTCCTTCACYTCACTTTCCTGAAAAATTCGGCTGGCATTCAGTTCAATTTATTTCACCTCAACACAATAAATACGTTTGTTTTCTCAGTTTAAATACCAATTTCAATCAACTACTGGTTTAAAATGATTAGAAAATCACTTTRTTTTCGTTCTCAATGTACATTCAACACACAAGCTGAGTTTGGAAATGAGGTTGAAACAGATTATACCTTTCAGTGATTCATAAATCTCACAAGTTGTTTTTTTAAGACCAACACGACAGCACGTGTAATTTAAGGGTTAGATTTAACCATTACCCAGAACCCAAGTACAGATTTGTATAGGACAGATGCAAAGCAATAACACAATCTAGACATTAAAGTTCTGATTTAAACTAAAGCAATTCTGCAAAAGTTACAGAAAGACACTTAAAGCAGGGATGACAAAGTGAAGAGGACATAGTCTGAACAGCTAATAATCATTGGTATTTACAACATTCTTTTAGATCAATCCAGAGGAAGTTTTTGGTACTAAATGATTAGAGTAAAAATCAAAGATAAGCCCACTATCCCGACTTCTAATGACCACTAGGTGGCAGACATAGTTTAGGTCAAACAGGTAAAGATTTGTACACCATGTTAAAGATTAATAGATTTGATTGAACAAAACAAATTTGAAATAGTAAATCAGTAAATACAGTAAAATGTATTTCACAGTAAAAAAAATACATTAGTGCAAATAGCCCCTCTTTGTTCTTGAATTTCTTATTTCACTTTTAATTAGTTTTAACTTGGGTTGCATTGTTTTAGAGTGCAGACAGTACAAGCAAGCTTCAGCCAAAGGTTATCCTTTGCTTATTCAAAAACATAAAGTTGGACTTACCTGCACATGCTGGACTTCCTGGACATGGTGGTACTTGGGGATGAGGGTGGTGTTTGATACGACCAACCATAATCCGAACCCTTTAGGTCCAAAATCACCTGAGGAGGAGGAAATCAAAATGTTTATTAGTAAAAACATTCATATTTTAGAGAGATTTTTCAATAAAGCCCCAGAATAAAAGGTTAAAGGTTTGTTATCTGAAGGTCTCRTTTGGGATGTTTATCCTCACTTGTTCACTAGCAGGTGGAAGCTTGTGGGGGTCAGAGGTCAGGGTTTTGAGGTCCTCAGAGATGGTTTGGAGATGGGTAACTTCTGAAAGCATGGAAATCTCCTCATCCTACAAAAATWAAAGTGATGGAGAGMAAATATGTTGACATAATAGCAAATCATTATTTGAATGGTRTTATGTGGCCAATTTGAAAGTTAAGGAAACGGTAAAAGAAGGCAAACCATTTAAATGGAAAGCAACAAAAGGGCACTGGAACATTTTTTTTCCTGATGCACTCACCACTACAGGCTGCAGCATGGCTACAAAACAGCAAAACCTCTGCCTCTCCTCGATGAGGGCCTTCCTCAAGGCTTGTTTCTCTGTTTCCTCCAGGAGAATGAATTTATCACTGACATCCTGCATTGCACTGTCCAACTGAGGCTGAAAATCACCCCGGCCTGTCAAACAAGACAGACACACACAAAAAAGACTTGTCATTATGGGTAAGCAAAGACTTTAGTTAGCTATTTGAAAAATCTAGACAACTTTTGGWCTTGTTTTCTATTTACAGAAACACATTTTAAGATAGAAAACCATGAATGAAGAAAATGCGATCATGTGTTGATGAATGAATATTTGGTGCCAGACTCTGGAGTGACTCTGCTCTCATAAATGTTACCATTTGCATGTCTCTATTGCTTTAGCTATCGCCTCAACATGAAGAGACTCTGTTGCCATCCAAGCGTTTCCTGKATTTTGTTCAAGAGGGGCATAAAGGTTATCGACTTCAGGCTAATCTGTCAATCTTTCCCWCTCTCTGTCAAARACAYAAATTCCTGAGCGCACACAGAMGCTTCAAACACTGGGTGTGTGTCTCAGCGTTTATAAAGACAAGGATGCAAAGCACCTACAAGGCCATCTGTTTTCATAGGGTCTGTATMTTTATATGTTAATCCTGAGTAGGACATTTASAGTTTCAAGGTTACTTCTTCCTCAGCACTGTGTGGCTAAACAGAAACTTGTTTGTCTTTGTGTCTATGGTGTATAATGATGTGATTGTGATGCTGTAATTCTGAGTGTTTTATGTGCTGCAGAACAGGAACCTGCTGTAAAACAGCAATTATGCTGAGTCAGGCTTGATTTTTAATAATCTTTTCCTGTTAAATAATAAATCAAWTCAAATCAAACATGTGTGTTTGCATGCATTGTGTGTGCATGTGTGTRTTTGATTAAAAGAGAGGATGCCCCGAAGACAAATCAAGACCTCTTGWGTTTTCGAAGGAGACAGGAAGGCTGGTGACTGTCTCTGACTGTATGATATAAAGTGGGCCTCTAAAGCGTTATCTAACCATTAAGGCTGCAGTTACAAACTGTACACAGAGTTTAAGGTTGAGACAACAAAACCCCATGGCCTCTGTCCAGTGTTGTGTCTGAACAAAGATAATAAACTGGTAATAAACCCCTGTTGTTGTAAGGCTCGATATATTACAAATCAGTGGTAAATAAACAAAGGAAGTAAAATTATTATGAGCTACACAGYAAATCGGCACAGCCTGTTCTATAGATTACAGAACATAAACAAGGAGGTCATCTTTCCAGTTTATTATTGCCCCATCTATTAGCTAGACCAAAATAAAACTGTAATTTCCAAAGGTTCGCATTACACAGAGCAATTCTGTATTCTAAAACTTGAAATTAAAAAATGAGTTAGTTTAACTCTGAAGACATTACTAAASCAAATCAATGTTGAARAAATAGGGAATGATTTGSCAAACGTACAGTAATCATTCTGACAGAATCAGTAATGYTGAACCAGGAGGAAGAACTGTAGAAAACTAGAAACATTTATCAAGTGAAATAACCGACAGTTAAAACAACAGTAAACAAGTTAAAGACCCTTCATGCACTGACAACACAAATTCTCTGAGGTAAAGCAGTCTCAGCTGTAAAGTTTTGGCAATATTAAAGCTGCAACACAAACTCCAGGTTTGTCTGGCCTCGAATCACAAAAGCAGCTTYTCTAGCCTCAAAGCCAAGGATGCTGTGGTTGAAATCTGGTTTCTCAACAAAACCAAAGTGGTTTTGGAAAGGCACCACTGTAAGCTGAGGTGCTTCCACTGAAACAGAAAGACAAACATTTTCTTTGTTGCCATTTTTATAGTCTGTGRACAGTTTGAGAAATGCTTCAAACTGYATTTATGAACCTTAAAACACGTCGGAAGTTTTAATCTGCTCTGCATGTGCAAGTCCACAGATTCAGATTATAACAAATAAAGTRAATTACTGTTTTGTGGCTTAGCCAGATTTCTGGTTTCCGTGCAATAAACATGTGCATCTGTGCAACTATACAAACAAACGTTACTGCTACTTTTTTTTAGTTTTTTTTGCTTTCAAGTCAGAACATTAAGACTTATCGAAGATCCGTGCTCACTGACCGTTCTGTGAGCTCTGCTGTTTTACACAAAGTTCAAAAAGAAAAGCACAAAAACAACCACAACTTTGGAGACTKGCCTTTTTCCTGTATTCTACAGTAGTTMTAAGTTATTTTACAAAACGGTGGTAKAAAAGGCCCTSATTTTGTTCACATTCATGTACATGTGCACACATTAATGGTCCCAACTGCTCCCAGCTTTCACATGGCCGATGATTAAATTAGGCTGTAATTTCAGACTGTTTGTAAGTGCTGCTGGTGTTTCAGGTCAGAAAAACGCCCCCGTGAGACACATAACAAACATCAGATCTTAAATAATTATCAGAAGCAGACAGATGGCATGTGTGTGTGTGTGTGTGTGTGTGTGCGCGCACTCAAAACAAAACTATTCTCCTTCAAATGAATCTACAGTTTGTATTTGAGTCAAACATTTGTGTGCAAACAGCAAGGTGCAGTTCGGTGAAGCCATTTGAACTTTCTTGTCTAAAAGACACATTTGTCAAATATTTAAAAAAACATATAATTAATGAGACAGCTGGATAATGATTTTTATACATTTTAATGGTTAGAATTCTTAAGTCAAAAGACTTCTGTTTTAAAATTGTGTGTAATTTTTATGTTCTTCCTATCTTGTGTGTATTTAATTTCTCCCAACCCCCTTTTTTTGTTATTWATGTATGTATGTATGTATGTATGTATGTATGTATGTATGTATGTATGTACACATGGACGTACGTACAGAAAATTATTTTATTTTCTTCTCAGCAGCAGGACATAAGACTCTTTAACTGAGAGTTATAATTCTGGGGTGAAACCAAACGATTCCTACAGTTAAGAGTAACTTTACCCACAGATCTGAAAAGGGGCAGGTGAGATGGCAACGTGTGCACTGATAGAGCTCGAGCTGTTGGTTCCAGTGACGCCCAAAGCCTTAGGTCAATGYCTTAGGTCTCTCAGTGGTAATATAATGCTACTTAGAATAGAAAGAATGTAGTCTGGTGGTGCCTTTACGTCTATCAAAAGCTTAAATCCAAGCTCTTGACAGCRGTAAAGCTCTAACACCAACTTGGACATACTAAGTCAACAGTCATTAAAAACTAACAAAATCCTATGAGATTTTATTAGCATTTTTTCTACAAATCCCACTGATTTGCTTCAGTCAAGAGCAAAGGCTTGAACGAGGCAAGTTATCTTTAAATAAAAAGTTGTGAATTTATTAGTTTATTTATTCCTATAACAAATTACTACAAGGCTCTGGATCACCTGATATATTAATTCCTATAAATTTGTTAAATATGTCAATATTTACACCAGGGCTGATGCATCTCTTCTAAGAGTGCTATGAATGAGTTTGTAGCTCAGGAAACACAAACAAAAAAGAGCATGAGATGGCATAAAAGAAAACAATAAGAATAGGTGGAACAGGTTAAAGACTATGAACCTGTAAACACAGTTGTTGTACCCTAAATATAAACCTAAAGACAAAAACATGCACTACACAGAACATAAAGATCTGTTAAACATGTGACAACTAAACAGTCTCACCATGCCTATAGAAGAAAACAGAGCATGCATTATGACACGAGTCTACACATTTACGTATCTATTATCTGAATGAGACTAAAGACCATATTTTTTATTCCACAATGCAACCAAGATACTTGATCACTGTGGTATAACAACAATGTGGACAGTACCTGTTTGATAAACTGACTTACCCAGATTATCAGCTGCAGTGCAGCATAAAATGAAGGATTGGTATCAGAACCACAGGGAGACAAGGAGAGGAAAAGAGTCACGTCAACTAATGACAACCAGCACCAAACACAAATAAATCACACAAATGTGCAGCTTTGATGTGTTTCTAAAAACCTGATTAAACATCCAGACATACAAAATAAATAGGACCAAAAATAATGTAAAGCTGAAACAACTCCCTGTTTTTATTCTAATTCCTTGCAGAAAAGCCTGCTTAAAAATTAGTCATGTCACACGCTACATTCAGCAACAATTATGTGTGTATGTTGTATTATTACCTTGTTAGGTGAATGTGTATGCAAAACCTGAGAAAAGAGAGCTGCAAAAGGACCGAGCCTCTGCCCTTCCAGAGTGTTTACCAAGTAAGGTAATGTTTAGCCTTCACAGATCTACACAACTTCATCAGTGGGAGCAAAATTCTTTCAGACACACAGTCCAACGGAAAACTCAAAACTCTTCCTCAAGGCTCGTTTCTTCGTTAGTACTCTTCTAGATGTGTCAACCTTTGTATTTAATCATAACTGTTAAAATCATTTGAACAAATACGTTTGATTGAGTAAAACATAAACAAACTGCTGAGGAGCAGATTTAACAGGCAACTAAAAGCAGCTGGAGTTCGGCATCAGCAGATGAGCCATTACTTTTTCTTTCCGACCTCATATAAACTACTTCACAACAGCTACCAGACAAAATATTTAAAGAAGACAACGTCACCAAGAAGTCAACGGAAAAACACGTGTCTTAGATCTGTCTGAGGATTAAAAAAAAAAAAAAACACCAGCTCATTGTCAGAAAGGAAGCATCGAAACAAAACTGGTCATCATATTTGAGCTGCAATAATATTAAAGTGGCATGCATTCAGACTAATGAAAAACATTTAAGCTTTCAGTTTTATAAGAAATTAACTTGAGCACGACAGGTACAGGTCCACCTGAGAGATTTCAACAAGGCTGTTAAACGAGTCATTTTCATAGATACAGTAGCTAGTTTTATGTCTGAATAATTAAGATAAGTTATTGAATGAAGTAGAATGGAGTTCTATCATTTTATTTACTTACTATTCAAATTTTTACTTTACTACAGATAAAATAACATTTTTTTAAATTTAAGGTGAACCATCAGTTAAATACAGATGCACTTTTTTTTACCTTTCTTGGCTTTTTTCTGAAGTTTCAGTGTGTCTGAAGACTTCTTCTTGATTTCCTGTCGAGCTCTTTTGTACTCTGGAGACAAAAGACCAGAGAACAAAAGGTCAACTAATAAAAACTGTAGGATTAAAAATAGTGGATCACAGAAACAAACAAAAACATATATAAAAAACAAAAATAGGATGTCTGTGGAAGAGTGGTTTGGGTAGTCATCCTGTAACCGGAGGGTTTCAATCCCTCATTCCAGCCGTCTCAGTCGTTGTGTCCTCGGGCAAGACACTTCACCCGTCTTGTCTGCTGGTGGTGGTCAGAGGGTCCGGTGGCACCGGTGCATGGCTGCCTCACCTCTGTCAGTGTGCCCCAGGGCAGCTGTGGCTACACTGTAGCTCACCATCATCAGTGTGTGAATGTGTTTGTGTGATATAGTGTAAAGCACACTGGGGTCCACAGGAACACGATGTTCAAACCATGTGCCGAAAATAAGTACCTATTTTATCCTAATTTTACGTAATATAATTGTGTAATTACACTAGTTTTCGTACCTTTTGCGTGGTCCTTGTCTAACGTGTTGACACCTCTCTTCCACTCCTCCATCTGTTCCTGCAGAGGGCTGATCAGACCCTCCAGGAAGCACCTGCACAAACAACAGGTTCGTCACTTCTAATCCGAGGTCAGTCCCAATTTCAATTTTGCATTTGAACACATTTTTTTTGTTAGGATTATCAGTTCAGAATGAACTAACTGATTGTCCAATTGAAACAGTAAAAATCTACTAAAAGAAAAACAGTGCAAGAAAGAACAACCGTTTTACCACATAGTACAGGGCTGTATTTTGTCATCTAATTAAAGAAAGTGGCAGACTGCCAGACGCACAGCACTTACAAAACACCAAGAGTAGTTTGTCTGCATGGTATATAATCTTGTGTCAATGATTAACAGACAGACACGCAGGAAGAAAAACACAGACTGTGAGAAAAGGACCCGCAAGTGTCTCTGTGCGTCAAAGGAGGAAGTACGAAGCCTGTGCAGTTATGTCTGCCAATCATTAGACGAGTATGTAACGTCTTCCGAGACACATTGGCGACTGAGTTACAATGTGCAATGGAGTGGACAGCTGCGGTGTAAGTGCATAAAAAACTAAAATTAGACTTCTCCCGCTTGCAGACATCTCCACAGCAGTGTGTGTCAGTGGGTGGTTGTTGATCACAGCCCCCCAAGTGTCCGGCCCCTGCTATGGAGAGCCAGAAGGAATCTCGACAGAAATGCCAGCTAAAATTAAAGAGCCTCTTGTCTAGAATGCGTCTGTGTGAGTGTGTATGTGTGTGTGTGTGTGTGTGTGGCGTGGGTACAACAGAGAACTATGATGAACGTCTTTACTGAGACATTATAGGAGCACCTTGCTGCCAGACAAATCGTCTCTATTCCTACATTCCACAACAAAGGTCACAGTCACCCACAACCCTGAAATGTCACAATGTGAGAGTAAGGTCAAGTAATTTAAATATCCATTTAATGAAGCCAACCTTCAGAAATAACTGGAGTCTAAAAGGAATTAAATGGGCGGGTATTCTCTACTATGTGGGGGGAAAAAAGACCTACTCGTGGGTACCAACTGCTACTTATGGGACATAAGGTGAATGCCAGTGCTGGGTTAGGTTTAGGACTAAGGAGTTTAGTTTAGGTTTAGGGTGAAAGGTCAAGGTTAGGCTATAGAAATGAAAAGAAGTCAATGAAGACAGTAGTACTAGACCGTGCGTGTGTGTTGGTGTTTGAATGTGTAACGCTTCTTACATTGAGAACTGTTTGAGTTTAGCCTCAATGTTGCGATGCCTCATACATATCCTCGTTAAAGCTGATCCAATGTCTCTGGTGCCACCTGAAAATGATACAGAAAAAACCTTTAGACGACCATTACTAAAAAAATAAAATAAAATACATATTCATCTTAAGATCCAAACCTTAGGAATATCACATCTCACTTGTCTAATTTAACTAATGTCACTACAAATCATGTAGAAAGAACATGAAGTACGAAACATTCTAGAGGTATTGACATGAGTCAAAAATACTATAAAAGTTTATACAAAAAGAAGTAAACCCAATTTGAGATCTTACATACCACTAATCTGTTTTTGGATCAATTCTTTCTAATTAGCCGTCATTAAAGAGTTTGATCTTTACAACAAACCATTTGCTGCAGAGTGCAGCAGCTGCAGAAGTTGGTCTAATCTCTAATTATTCTGCTCACTGGAACTTTAAAAGAGAAACTTCATGAAAACACAAACACGCCCTTAACTGGCTATCATCTACCTCAAAAACTACAAAATGCATTTATACAAAAAAGAAAGAAACGGATGAGTGAACAAGCTTGGCGATGGTGTCAGAAGCTAACAAGTTATCCGCTGGCAGAAACGTGACACTGATTGGCACGACTATTGTCTCTGTGCTCAGCACGACTTGGTAGTTTCTCTGTGGGGCCACTGTGTGTATGTTTACCACTCTGTAAGTTTGGGCTCCTTCCAAAAGAAGAGAAAGTCAGAGAACCTTGGATTTAAACTGCATGGACGTACTTAGACATTCTGCCTTGTTTATCACAGTAACGCTGCGTGCGCATTTGTCTTCGATAATCTGATGAAGTGTAAAATGTTCTCCCACAGAGCAAACCATTCATCTGTCAGCACAGTCCTTTCTGCATGCAGAGACAACACACAGAGCTGTCACTCACTCACAACCACTCCCACTCACAACACACACACACACACTGACAGATGCCCGACTCTTATAGAAGCAAAACAAAACACACACGAGGCTGCTGATATCAACTCCAACACTCACACAAAAGACAACCTGTAACTATAAAGTTTTAATGTGGTGTGTTTAGTTACCCAGCCTGAACTGTATATAAAAAACTCTGAAATATAAAAATATGTAGCAATATATTTGCAGCAGCGCTGAATTTCTCAAGTTAGTACTTTTAGTTGTAATTTATACTAGCTTTGACAAATATAGACAAACATATGGGCTCACTGGTAAGTATCTACAGCAATAGCTCACAAACGATCAGGCATGGCATCCTGGGAGAAGGAGGGGCTGGGGCTAATGTCACATAACAGTACTGTTATGAATGTAATTAAGTAATTGCCAAAATAAAAAAAAGTAAAAATTAGTTTCTGTATTGATTCTGTTGAGTTTGTTTGTCTAGGCACTGTATTATTGGCTGTTATGCAGTTATTTAATGTTTTGTTTTGTTTTTTTTGTTTGTTTTCTACAGAGGACCACTTGAGCATTATGGTTACCCTCACATGGTAAGCTGTATTTAACTTAGATGTTTCATATTTAACTTTGACTAAACGTGAAACGTCACATTCCTCATCTCGTGGCTACACCTGAACTCCACTAAAACAATAACAGAGCTCTTCTTCAGTGTGTTTCAACCCTGGTCCTCAAGGCACCCTGCCCTGCATGTTTTAGATGTTTCCCTGCTTCAACACAGCTGATTTCAATTATCAACTGATTAACAGACTTTTGTTGAACAGCAATCATCTGAATGAATCAGGTGTGTTAAACTTCTAAACCATGCAAGGCAGTGTGCCTTGAGGACCAGGGTTGGGAAACACGACTCTACTTGGTATTTTATGCATACAAAAAACAATTTAACATGCCCACTTATAAACACTGTGCTATGTAGGGGTGTAAGAAAATATCGATACACTGAAATATCGCGATATTTCATTTCCCGATACTGTATCGATATTCTAAAGCCCTGTATCGATTTTTTATTAAGGTTTAAAATGTCAACTTTCCTGCCAGCCGTCCTTTTTATGCTGTAGTTCAGCCTCTGACCACTAGTTGGCAGCAGTGAGCCAGCCATTTGGCTCCTCTACCTCTTGAGCGCCAGAGAGTAAGGGTAGCATTAGCATTGTAAGTAAACATTAGCTTTTCTTTCTTTTTTTTCCAGTAAGAGGTTTTTATTTAATAGAATTTTTGGACAAAAAATCGCAATATATTGCCTTGCTTACAGTACCGCAATATATCGGGATATATCGTATCGTGACCCCTCTGTTATGATATGTATCGTATCGCCAAATTCTTGCCAATATACAGCCCTAGTGCTGTGTATACAGCTGACTAAATATGAAACAAATTATACAGAAATACTATTAAAAGTAAAAGTAAGAGTTTTACTCATTGAGTTGTGGTAACTAGCTGCCTGCTACGGGCTACTTTTGAACCCGTTGTACCTCCACTTAGAGATGGGATGCTATCATTTAGTGAATGAAATAATTGACATGCATTATGGGAGATAAAACGTATTGTCAATTCTGGCTTTAAAGCAGTGAAGGAATTTATTGGGGTGTTTACTACTGAATTTTAAAGACACTACACATTGCATAGTCTTTTATCAGGTGAACAGTAATATCTTTTTTAATGTAGTTATTTCTGATTGAATTGATGATTTTATGTGCAGACTGGGTTGTGGGACTCTTGATCAGGGTTCCATACACTCAGGATGCTTTTGGTTAGATACACGTCTGATTTAAAACAACACATATTAGAAGCATGATCAAACATTAGGGTGAGGAATAATGTCTGACATTTTTGACTCCGTGTAGAGACAGCCTCCCCGTTTAATATATGTCATGAGGTGGAGTCAGGATGTGAAGAAGGCTGTTACTTGATGTGTTTCCTGGGTTTTTTTTCTCAATGCTTGGCTGATGCCTGTTGGAAGGCACATAAAAAGCTAAACAGTCCACAGCTGTGTCCGAATGGTTTTATATGGCTCACTCAAACATTCACATGTCATTATTATTATCTGGTATTGGATCTGAACAGGTAAAGGGTAACGAACACTGCTTATTTTTTAACAGCAGCATATGCTTATTTTAAGACATTAATACATCTTTGAAGCTCACAGGCCTTCGAGTTTGACACATAACGTATGGGGTTACTTGAGTATACATCCTGCGGTGTACAAAAAAACGTTTGAGAACTACTGTACTCCAGCAATAAAGTAGTTCTGTTTCCTTTTTGTGGCAGTTGGATTATGGATTGGCTTACACAATCTAAACTTGTCCTGCTTTTATTTTATCTATCTTTTTGGTATCTTTTAAAGTTAAAAAAATTAGGCAACACAAAAAGGCAAACTATCAAAGAAACATTTTGGCTTTAAGTGTTTTATATTCTTCAAAATGACCAATTATAATGTAACTTTCAGTTACGTTTGGCCAGTTTCATTCAACCATGGTACTTTCCCTTTTATTAATCTTCTTTTTGGAGTGCTTGTTTTTGTGTAGGGTGTGGCTTTTACAATGACTGACCTGTTACACAACACCATGTTGTCAATTCATTCGTGTGCTGAATTGTTTAGTCATCAAATCCATCCCTCTGATCGTATCTCCATTACTGAATCTTCTTGTTATACTAAAGGGTGTGACTGAACAATGACACACTTCCAAAGTGACACCACAAAACCACAAATGAGGAGTTAGCTATGCATTTAGAAAGTTAATCAAATGTTTTTGGTCATACTGTCAAGGGTGAACATTTCAGTTCAGTTGAATAATTTATTATCCATTTACCACAGATGTAACCATCATTTTGGACGCAATAAGAAGAAGAGTACTAAAAGAGACTGTTCCTGTGGAGTGCATAAATACACAGAAAGATTGCAGTCTTTAGCAGATGGAGCCCAAACTTAGTGAAACTGACTATGTTTATTTCGAGTTCCAAGAAATGGTTGTTTTTCTTTGAGTGATACAGTAGGTCGGATGAGGAAGGGAGATAGTTGTTGATAGTTGTAGTATGCAATATTGAACTGATTATTACTGATGCATGGCATTCGTTTTTAAGAGTCAAAATTGCAAAATGAAGAAGAAATAACCTATATAATGGTATGACTATTTGATTATTAAAACATCCTATACTCAGCTTCAAGATTCATAACTAGAACTAAATTGTTCTATTGTCACCAGGATGCTGGTCCCTCACCAAATCAAGGTTATTCAGCCAGTTAACAGTCCGGGACAGACGGACTCTAGACTAGTCAGACTTTCAAACAAACAAACAAACAAAGCCAGAAAGGTAGTTAGAGATCAGGGACCTCTTAAAGTCCAGGGATTAGCATCTCGTCCGAGGTGAGGTCTTCAAAAGGGTCGAGCGAGGAGGGAGATAGTGGAGCAGGAGTCAGAAAGGAGCACATGACTATTGACTGAACCTTAAAAGTACAAAAAGTAAATTCTAAACTTTACATTTATATTTTCTTTTTTTCCTCTTGTTTGTTGGACATAGAAAAACAACTCAGACGAGAGGTGACATTGGGTGAGATGACCAAAAAGGGACAACTCATGACAAACTGAGCTGCAGATCACCCACCAAGGTTTTCTCTAGTTTGTTATCAAAGCAAAGTTTGATAACGTGGCTAGACATCAGATGACTGACGCTGGGATAACCTTGGGGTTTGTACAAATGAGATCATCTCACTCTGTTCAACGTTCTGCTACACAGGAGTAATCTCCTGTCAGTCAAAAAGAACTAAAGCTTGTTAAACCATTTGACAGATTTTCTTACTGGAAAGATGCACACATGAAAATCATCACAACAGGCTCTGCAATCAAAATAAACTGATTTCATTACTGCAAATATATTTTTATATAAGTCTAGATAGAATAATGTAAACATCCTGTTTCTAAACTTTACTAAACTAATCTATTGATTAGATACCCAAGAGTGTGGAAGTACAAATGCTAAAATGATCAAGGATCATTCAGGGCAAGATGACTTTTAGGAGTAAAAAAGCTCTCAGCTGATCACGGTGATCGACCTAAATTTTTTCTCAATCAATAATCATGATCAAATAACCACCAAGCCCTAATGGAG